CTCCAGCTTCATTCAGATATGTAGTTGGAATGGGAGGAGAGTTTCAATAGCCTTTTCAGATAACTGTGAATATTCTTTGATACTGTGGTAGTTTCTTTTTCTTTTTTTTCTGAGTTGGAGTCTCACTCTGTTGCCCAAGCTGGAATGCAGTGGCACGCTCACAGCCACCGCAGCCTCAACCTGCTGGACTCAAGTGATCCTTCCACCTCAGCCTTCCAAGTAGGTAGAACTAGAGGTGCGCGCCTCTGCGCCCAGCTAATTTTTTTATTTATTATGGAGATGAGGTCTCACCAAGTTGCACAGGCTGGTCTCGAACCTGTGGACTCAGGCAATCCTCTCACCTTGGCCTCCCAAAGTGCTGAGATTATAGACGTGAGCCACTGTGCCCAGCCCACTGTGATAATTTCTTAAAAGTGAGTTGTAGTGTGGAATTTTAAACTATATCAGTGAGCTTTTTATGTTCTTCTACATTGAAATCTTATTGGCCTGTCTTTTACCTTGAAAGGATCTTTTACCATTGCATGATGTTGTAATTTCATTGCATTGGTTATATGGAAAATATTGGTTCACTGAATTAATATGTCTTCAAGATGTTGATACACTTTATTATATAATATTATCTGTTAATAGCACCACCAGCTAGACTCGGTGGCTCAGCCTGTAATCCCGCACCTTTGGGAGACTGAGGTGAGTGAATTGCCTGAGCCCACGGGTTCGAGACCCACCTGGGTAACCAGACCTCATCTCTACAATAAATCAAAAAATCAGCCGGGTGTGGTAGCACATGCCTGTAATTCTGACTACTTGGAAGGTTGAGGCGGAAGGATCGCCGGAGCCCAGCAGGTCAAGGCTGCGGTAGCCGGGAGCGGCCACTGCACTCCAGTCCGGGCAACAGAGTGAGACTCCAACTCAAAAAAAAAAAAAAAAAAAATAGCACCACCAAACTCATCAAAAATAGCCTTTTAGTATTAGGAAACTGTCAAGCTTATGGAGACAAATACAAGATATTTCAAATTTCTAATTTTTTTCTTGAAAGCTCTAATTTTTAAATTTTATTTTGTTGAGTTGAGTTGTTGAGTTGAGTGAGTCTCACACTCCATCGCCCAGGCTGGAATGCAGTGACCCAGTCACGGCCATCCCACCATAAACCTGCTGGACTCTGGCAATCCTTTCACCTCAGTCTTCCAAGTAGCCAGAACTACAGGTGCATACTACCATGCCCAGCTAGTTTTTTGGTTTATTATAGAGACAAGGTGTCATCATGTTGCCCAGACTGGTCTCAAACCCGCGGACTCATGCAGTCCTCTGGCCTCAGCCCCCCCAAAGTGCTGGGATTACAGGCTGAGCCACTGCACCTGGCTGAAAGCTCTAATTTTTATAATTGACAACAAATGCTGTCAGATGTGGTTTTTTTAAGTAACAGCTTTATTGATGCATAATTCACATTAGCCAACTTGAAAATGTGAAATTCATTGGTTTGTAGTATATTCATACTTAGGCAGCCATAAACCACAATCAATTTTAAGACATTTCCCCCCAAAAGTTTAGAATGTTTTACCACATTACCCCTAAAAGAAACCCTCATACCCTTTAGTTATTACCCTCCTGCCTACTCCCACGGCACCCCCCTCCCCCATTCCCACATCTGAACAACCATAATCTCTCTTTCTGTAGATTTCCCTATTCTGGATTTTCTTGTGAAAGGAATCATAGTCTTTTGCAACTGGCTTCCTTCACTTAGTGGGATGTTTTCAAGATTCATTATGTTGTAGCATGTATCAGGACTTCGTTCTTTTTATTGTCAAACAGTATTTCCTTGTATACATCATAGCACATCTCAGCCCATTCAGGCTGCTATAAAAAATACACTAAACAGGGTGACTTGTAAACAACAGAAATTTATTTCTCACAGTTCTGGGAACTCCAAGATCAAAGTACCAGCAGATTCCATGTTTGAGGACTCATTCTCTGTTCATAGATGGTGATTTGCATTTCTCTGGTGGCTATCCTGATACTGAGCATCTTTTCATGTTCTTGACCATTTGTATATCTTCTTTGCAAAAACGTCTATTCAAGTCCTTTGCCAATTTGTAAATTTGTTTTTTGGGGGGGTGGTTTTGTTTTGTTTTCTTTTGGCGTTGAGCTGTAAGAGATTTTTGGGTTTTGTTTTTTGAATTGGAGTCTCTCTGTTATCGGATCAGGTGATCCTCCGGCCTCAGCCTTCCAAGTAGCTGGGGCTACAGGCATGTGCCACCACACCCAGCTAATTTTTTAAGGTCTTGCCATGTTGCCCAAGGTTCATGCGATCCTCTCGCTTCTACCTCCCAAAGTGCTGGGATTACAGGTGTGAGCCACTGCACCTGGCTAAGAGTTTTTTATATATTCTGAATACTAGACCCTTATGAGAAATTTGATTTGCAGATATTTTCTCCTGTTGTATGGGTTGTCCTTTTACTCTCTCGATTATATTCTTTGGTGCACAAAATTTTTTATTTGATGAAGTTCACTGTGTCTGTGTTTTATTTTGTTGCTTATGTTTTTGGTGTCATACCTAAGACACCTTTGCTTAATCCAAGGTTATAAAGATTTACATGCTTGTTTTAAGAGTTTTATAATTTCAGCTCTTACATTTAGGCCTCTGGTTTTTTTTTGTTTTTTTTTTTGAGTCAGAGTCTCTCTCTACCGCCTAGGCTGGAGTGCAGTGGCACGATCACTGCTCACTACAGCCTCAACCTCCTGGGCTCAGGAAAGTACTTCAACCTCCCAAGTAGTTGGGATTACAGATGAACACTGCCACACCTGGCTTACTTTTTAATTTTTTTATAGAGACATGGTCTCACTGTGTTGCTTAGGCTGGTCTCGAACTCCTGGGCTCAAGCAGTCCTCTTCTCTCAGCCTCCCAAAGTGCTGGGATTCCATCATACCTAGATTCTTGAAGTATTTTGAGTTGACTTTTATGTATTGTGTAATTTAGGGGTTCCTCACCTTTTGCATGCGGATATCCAGTTGTCCGAGCACAGTTTATTGAAAGATTATTTCTTCACTGGATTGTAAAACTGAGGATTACCTGAAATTACTCAAACTATAAAGTTTAAAGCTAACTAACTATTAGGGTTAGAGGCCATACTGCCCTCCCAAAGGCCACCCTCCCTTTTGATACCAACTGCTATTTTAAGGGGTTCCAAAAACATCTTCAGGTTTGCTAGTTCCCTCAAAGAACTCACTGAAAGCTGTTATAGTCATGGTTATCTTTTATTACAGGGAACAGATTAAAGTCAACTAAAGGAGGACACAATAGGGCAGAGTCTCAAGGGCTTCGGACTTGAAGCTGGAGTCAGGATGTGCTACTGTCCTAGCATAGGTGCCTGACAGTACTCATGAAATGCTGTAGTACCCTCTTACCATGATTTCACATTCTGCAGTTTCAGTCACTCATGGTCAACTGCAGCTTGAAAATATTATGTGGAAGTTTTCATCAATAAACAAAGTTTTAAATTGCATGCTATTCTGAGTCTCATGATGAGACCTCATGCTGTCACTGTGACAGTGACAGACTCCATCCTGCCAGTGCCACAGATCATTCTTATGTCCAGTGTCTCTACACTGTATTCACTGCCCACCGTTAGTCACTTAGTCACCATTATCAGATCAGCTGTCGTGGTATCACAGTACTTTTGTTCAGGTAACCTTTATTTCACGTAATAATGACCCCAAAGCACAAGAGTTAGTGATGCTGCTATTCACATATGCCAAGGAGAATTCATAAGTGAAAAGGTCAAAGTTCTCAACCTGAGGAAAAAAGTCATATGCTGAGGGTGACTGAGATCTGTGGTGGAGCAAACCTTCTATCTTTGAAATTGTCACACCTTGTAATGCAAAAGTTACAATCATAGTGTGTGATAAGTGCTTATGATAAGATGGAAAAGGTGTTACATTTATGGATGGGAGACATGAACAGAAACAGGTTGCAATTGGCTGCGCCGGGTTTGGTCCTATTTGCGATTTCAGGCACCCACGAGGGAAGAGGGTGTGGTAAGTAGTCTTAGAACGTGTCTCTGTGGATAAGGGGACTACTGTATTGACAATCTGGACTTCAGAGTGTCTGTAGTTTGTGTGGGGCTTCATTGCATGGGCATAACTGATTTGTCAGCAGCCCACATGGTTGAACTCAGTCTTTAAGTCAACTGATACCAAGTTTCCCAAAGTTCCCACCATAAACCATATAGTCAGTCTTTTTGTATAGCCCATCTTCACCTTGAGACTTTGGGTGTTGCGGCTCCAACCTACAACCTGATAGCAGTCCTGTGGGGTCTGACATAGATCACCTCCCAAAAGACAAAGACCAGACATCTCTTGAATAAGGTCACATTGTTAGTATACTGGGGCAGATAGCCATTTCCAGGGGCAGAGTTGAAGTGAGTTTGTCAGCTGTCTTTCAGGAGTTGTATTAGCATCTTTATGTATGACTCACTCATTAAGTTTTCAGATTAACTGAGAAACATTGTTCCTTCATTTTGCACATGAGGCTCTTAAGTTAAGCAACTTCTGAGCAGTGGAGCTAGGATTCAGACAGAAGTTTCTCTACTGCAGAGCCCTTTGCCAGACTCTGCTTGTCAGAACTGCTTTGTTGCATCATTCCAGGGGCACTGTCCTCATTGTATTCTCTGTGAGTGGCTTTTCTTGGGATTGTAGGGTGAAGCACTTTATATCCCAGCCACCCTAAATAATACATACTGTCTGAATAAAAGAAGTGTTTGCTATGTACATGTAGCTTCCAGATGCGTTCCCTGATCTCTGCTCTGCATGAATTCTGGAACCATCATCCCACATTACCTCCCAGTATAGCAGGTTAAAAGGTCTTTGAAGCTGCACTCCTCAGGTGACCTTTTAGTGTATTAATGACAATCCTGTTTTGGAATGCCAAATAGTAGTTGCCACATCTTTTCTTGGGGTTGGTTTGAGCATCACTGGAACTCTTGCTACTCTGTTTTCCTTCTCAGGCTGCTGTGCAGGACAGATTGAATGAGCAAGAGGGTGTACCGAGTGTTTTCAACCCACCTCCATCCCGACCCCTGCAGGTTAATACTGCTGACCACAGGATCTACAGCTATGTTGTCTCAAGACCACAACCAAGGGCAAGTTATTTTGTAACTGGAATTTTTGTCTTTTTATTTTATAAGTTCATTCATTTGGTTACATCAAGCTCTGTATGATAGGAGCAAAAGAAATATTCAGAATGTCAACCTGTTAGTTACACCTAGCCCCTCGGGTATATCATTTTGCCTTGATTCATCAATAAATTGATACAGAAACTATTCTTTTTTTTTTTTCCTATTTTTTGCCAGTTATTTGGAGAGTGTTTTCTGTGCTTTAAGTTAGAATGTGTTTGCTGAGATCTTTGTTACATCAGTTTACTTAATCTACATCTGAGGAAGCACTTTGAATCTTTGTAGGGGCCTTGGCCACATCTTTGAAATTATCCTTGAAGGGCTAATAGCAAGGAGGTGATTCACTTAAATTCAACAAGTATTTAACAGTGCTCCAGTAATCTGGCATTTTGCTACTGGGGATCCAGACATGAATAAATTGCCAGTCTTCCCATTTCACGTTGAATGTCTCACAGACTAGTTATGGAAGTCAGCTGCATACACTGGTAATGAACTCTAAAGAACTTCTTAGAATTTCTCTTTCTTATCTTTAGAGTTAACACTTCTTATGTTTGCATTTAGAAAGCACTTTCTTTTTTTTTTTTTTTTTTGAGTTGGAGTCTCACTCTGTCACCCAGACTGGAGTGCAGTGGCCGCTCCCAGCCACCACAGCCTCGACCTGCTGGACTCCGGCGATCCTTCCGCCTCAGCCTTCCAAGTAGCTGGAACTACAGGCGCCCGCTACCACACCCAGCTAATTTTTTTATTTTTATTGTAGAGATGAGGTCTCGCCAATTTGCCCAGGCGGGTCTCGAACCCACGGGCTCAGGCAGTCCACTCACCTCAGCCTCCCAAAGCGTGGGATTACAGGCTGAGCCACCGAGCCGGGCTAGAAAGCACTTTCTTTAGCCTTGCAGCAGTTAGAATTTATTCTATCATCATACCTTTTTGTTGAGCACTTGGCAGTTTAAAATAAATGTTTCTAAGTTGTTTGGGGGTATTTTGAAGTAGACTAGCAGATTCCTATCACCCATGGGACTCCAGGGCTTTCTGGCATGGACATAGAAAGTGTCTCAGGTTAGCACAATATAATGGCTAAGAAATGCTTTGTAAACTATAGAGCCCTGTATGTATGAAGTTTTAATAATAACAGCAGTAATAATAATAATTAGCATTATTACTAAGATTAGCCAGCTATATGGAGATTTATGTTTGTGGTTAGTATCATATATATACAAATATCCAGGGGTAGTAGTGTTGGTTATCTTTCTTGCTATTTTAATGTGTAAAACTAAAAAGGAAAGAATGAATATTTATCATTTGGGGAGGTAAACTTGCAGTTGAACTTGAAAACTAATACAAGTGGCTGCAGAAAAACTGTTAAAGTAGATGTAATATAAAATTTCTGTGAATAAAAGAAAAATGATAGTATTAAATGAAATAAGATCAGAGGCAGTAGCATGTAAGAGGGATTGAGGTAGCCGGGAAGAGGCAACTGTATTACAGAGGAAGAAATGACGAGAAAGAACAAAAATAGATAAGAAATCAAACTAGCCATGTAGTAGAATATCAGGAACCAAGAAGATTCTCTCTAACTTTGATTTTGGAATTTCAGGGGCTGCTTGGATGGGGTTATTACTTGATAATGCTTCCATTCCGGTTTACCTATTACACGATACTTGATATATTTAGGTATGTACCTTTGTATTTATGTATTAGTAGCAACAGGGTAGACTTTGGAGCTGAAACTTAGACCAGAATAAGTTTTATGCTTTATCAGTTTTGACTTGCCAGCTTGTCATCAGTTTGAATAATCTTCCTGAACTGTCTTATAATACACTATAAAAGTATGTTACATTGTTTAAGCATTGAGGCAGATGTTGTGAAATGGAATTGTTTTTAAATTAGTCTTACCTGTTTGCAAGGATCAGTCTGCCGACATTTATTGATTTCCGCCTCCTCTCCCCATCATGTTTGTCACCTCTACATTTCCTGGTAAATGGGCACACCCTTTCCTTTCTAACTGCCATTATCTCCTATCTTCACACTCCTTAGAACTTTTTTCTGAACTCCTCCTCCTCCATCTCACTGCTCACAATCCTGGTACATTCTCTTGCTCTGAGATTACCCACATTGCCCTAGATTCCTCCCACAGTAGCTACTCCTCTCTGGACACTCCTTTTGTCCCTTTTCACTTTGCCATGGCAATCCCTAGGTTGCTGACACTGGAACCCTTTTTGTATACACTTGCTTCATACCTCCGCCTGCCTTCTAGTAGCTTCCTTCACATCCCATTCAAAGAGCTCATCATTGGCAGCTGCAGAGGCTCCAAAGCCAGAAAATACTAAGTAGGACCCAACTCCCTGCCACATCAGACTTGAGGTATCTGATCTGGAGCCACACCTAGGCTCTATGGGGAGCTAAAATATTTATGGCCTTCCAGACCCACAGATGGAGCTAGATGTGACCTGGGCCTGGCACGGTGGCTCACGCCTGTAACCCCAGCAGTTTGGGAGGTGGAGTCTAGAGGATTGCTTGAGATTAGCCTGGGCAACTTGGTGAGACCTCATCTCTACAATAAATTTTTAAAAATTAGCTGTACATGGTGGCACGCAGCTGTGGTTCTAGCTACTTGGAGAGCTGCAACAGAAGGCTCACCTGAGTCTAGCAAGTCAAGGCTGTGGTGGCTGTGAGCATGCCACTGCACTCCAGCCTGGGCAGCAGAGTGAGACTCCTACTCAAAAAAAAAAAAAAGATGTGACCTGGGCCTTGTATACAGGGTAGCCTGTACCTCCCTCCAAATATGGGACAGCCTTCTCCCTGCTCTAAGAAGCAGAGGCTGGAGGTGAGGCTCTAGCAGCTGCAGATGTGCAAGGGTCAGATAAAACCGTCTATGTTGGCCCCTTGGTGTTTTATCAACAGTCTGCTAATGGCTTCCTTGCTTTAGCAGAGTTCTTAATGGCCACCAGTGAGCCGCTAGTACTCAATCCATCCCCATTTTGTTTAAGATTGGGCATGTAAAAACCTATAAAATCATAATGAAGCTTGGGTGGACATTTCGATTTTTTTGAAAAGCTGATTGCCTAAATTGTGCAGGCCATGGGAATATATTATAATGAGAAACAAAAAAAGTTACAGCCTTAATCCACTCTTCAGGATTTGAAAACTGAAAGAGATAATCCTAAAATAATTTTAGAAAAGGTAATCAAGCCGGGCTCGGTGGCTCAGCCTGTAATCCCACGCCTTTGGGAGGCTGAGGTGAGTGGATTGCCTGAGCCTGCGGGTTCGAGACCCGCCTGGGCAGCGAGACCTCATCTCTACAATAAATCAAAAAATCAGCCGGGCGTGGTAGCGCGTGCCTGTAATTCCGGCTACTCGGAAGGCTGAGGCGGAAGGATCACCGGGGCCCAGCAGGTCGAGGCTGCGGTGGCCGGGAGCGGCCACTGCACTCCAGTCTGGGCGACAGAGTGAGACTCCAACTCAAAAAAAGAAAAGAAAAGGTAATCAAAATCAGTCTTTTAAAGGATTTCTAACCCCTCTCCCACATATACAGTTTCTTACATTTTGTGTTTTTAATTTGCTCTGGAATGTTTGTGTCAATGAATTTGATTTGATTACTCGGGAGAAATTCCAAATGGAATTGTACACATATGGGGAGTTTGTGGAGGGGATAGTCAATTGGCTCAAGATTTGGTAAGGAAAGTAGCATAGTTTAGTTACCTTTTCTGTGCTGAAGATTCCTCAAGTAAATGAATATTGCTTGCTTTCCTAGGAAAAATATGCATGGCATGTGTTACTAATTTTAATGTAGCTGTATTATCCAAGCAGCTTGTTAAATGTTATGTAGCACATTGGCCTCTGCCCCACTGCCTTCTTTGGAAACCTGGAGGATAAATAAATGGTGCTGCACAAATATGGTAGGATGCGCTCCTCAGAAGCAGACATGTGGCACCACTGGGTAGTGCATTCATAACTCACAGTAGCTGCCAGGACTCCATATCCACCACATTCCCTGGATCAGCTCTGTAACCTCCTCCATGGGTGCCCTCAGCTATAGGTCATCAGGCAAAAGTCACTTGTCCCTTTGAAGAACAAATAAATCATGACTACAAGTTCAGGTCCGAAGTTCCTGTCCACAATTTGAATAGCTTGAGAGTGTGAACTAAAAAAGTTCAAAATCCCAGGAGATCAGGAAGGAGCAGGAGAGGGAAGTAGGACAACCAGAGGAAGTCTCTGCTCTGGAGCAGCACTGTCCAGTAGAACTTTCTCTGGTGATGGGAACATTCCGTATCTGCACTGTTCAATATGGGAGCCATCAAATACATGTGGCCATCGAGCACTTGAAATGTGGCTAGTGTGCCTGAGCAACTGAGTTCTTAATTGTATGTAACTTAATATATTTTAAATTGAGAATAACCACATGACTAGTGGCTACTTATTAGGCAGTGCCGTTCTGGAGTCTGGGTGCATAGCCGGACTTGTGATCTTTTTGGATACTGTGCCTTCCCTTCCAAGCCTTCTGTCCCTAGAGTTTTCTGCCGATTTGTTAGGCCAGTGTTGGAGTTTATAATCCTAGTAGTTTGCATTCTTCTTGAACAGGCCATGGAACAACACCTGCTACTTTGCGGCTTACAAGCCAGACTCCACTGACAGGTTTGATGGTCCACTCAGACCGCTCACCTCCCTTTGTTGCCGTGCCTCTGGCTCTGTTATAGGAATCTGTACAAACTGGCCCACTCCATATGCACTACAGTAAGCTGAATTCATGTGATATTTATTCCTTCCTCCCCAGGTTTGCTCTTCGTTTTATACGGCCTGACCCTCGCAGCCGGGTCACTGACCCCGTTGGGGACATTGTTTCATTTATGCACTCTTTTGAAGAGAAATATGGGAGGGCACACCCTGTCTTCTACCAGGGAACGTACAGCCAGGTCAGTGCCACAAACCATTTAGATGCCAACTTACTGAAATGATTCTGTCCTCAAAGGAAAGTATAGCCCAGCACTGATCATGTCATTCTTATACTCAAAAACCTTAAATAGCTCCTCACTGCTTCTGTACAGGGGAAAAAAAGACCAAACCTTTAGTTGGGTCCTCCTTGGTCTAATCCAGACCTTCTTTTGAGGTCTTTTCTGCATAACTTATTTTACCAGACCCCAGGTTCAGCTGAGCCGTACCCTGAACGTAGTCTGTGCTTTCCTGCCTCCATGCCTTTGCTTTGCTGACCCTTTCACCTGGAATGCCCTCCTCACGTTTTTGCTGATTGGAATCTTGCCCGTCCTTTAACCAGCTCGTGTCACTTCCCTCTTACAACTAGTGTTCCTGAGTGACGTGCCCTATCCTGCCCTGTGTTGCTATCAAAAATGTTAATCTCTCCTTTTGTTCTTCCATAGCTTTTTAAAAAGTTATAGCAATTTCGTGTTCTTCCCTCTATTATCGTTATTTGTGTTCATGTCTTACCTCCTCTACCAGACTAAGCCCCTTGAAAGCAAAGCCTGAATGTTTTTTGATCCCTCACAGAGTTGAGTAAGGGCATAGACCGTAGACTCAAGGTGACACATCTCATTCAACCTAAGCCTCACAGACCTTTGACTGTCACCTCTCAGGGAAGGAAAAACTAGAGTCCTGTGGGTAGTAGACATATCGCTAGTTTGCTCCCCCCAAAAATAGGGAATTAATGCTGTGGGCCTAGGCAAAAGAGTGGTTCTGTCTTGTAGCCTTCAGGGTTTCGGAACCTCTGGAGAAAGAGAAACACTCTTAGCCTTGCTTCCTCCTTTGATTTTCCCTTGCCGGCTTTTTGCTCATCGTCAGTCTCCCGCTAGCTGGTCCCTCCCCACTCACAAGCACTTGGGTACCTACTGTATGCCAGGCGCCGTCCTCAGTGCTAGAGATGCAGAGATGGGTGAGATGAGCACCTCTCATGTGCCCTCTTTTCTGTGATCCTGAGGGTAGACCACCACTGGCCATTCCAGCAGTCTCGAAAAGTCTGACGTGCTCAGGGATACGCCTGAGGAAAGTACATGTGGGAGTCTTGGACACTAGCCTTGTCTCGGGAGATCTTTGAAACCCTGTGCTCGTTAGAATGCCTTGGCGCCCTATGGCCCCTAGTTCCTACTTGGTATGTGGCCTGGGGTCAGGCTTATCCTCACAGCTATTTTTTACTTACAAGGACGTGATAGCTGTGAAGTGGCAACGTTCTCACCTCCCTTTTCACATGATTGGATTGTCCTGTTTTTATCTTCCTTTACACTGTAGGGACTGCTGACTTTTCTGTGATTTGGTGGGGACCTGTATCTGTAAGCCTGTCTACTCTTTTGTGCCTGACACAGTTGAAATCCTAACAGCACTAAAACCTTTTCATTAAAGCCTGTTAGCATGGACTTTCTATAGGGAGAAAAATTCCAGGGGTGTGAAGGTAGGAGCCCAGGAGCTTTCTGGTTTCTTGCTCGCCTTTTTTCCTTATTTCTCTTTTTGTTCTGAAATACATAGCTGTATCCATTAAGACCCTTAGCCTAATTAAGCGCTCGAGGCACAGTCTTCATAATAATTAGTAAGCTGCTGTTTCTTACAGGCTCTTAATGATGCCAAGCGGGAGCTTCGATTTCTCTTGGTTTATCTTCATGGAGACGATCACCAGGACTCGGACGAGTTTTGTCGGTAGGTGGGTCGATCGTGCTCTTTCCTTCCCTCACCCTTCCTCCTGCTGCTGCTTGCTGTAGTCACGTCCCTTTCATCCTTTCTGCAGCAATACGCTCTGTGCACCTGAGGTTATTTCACTAGTAAATACTCGGATGCTGTTCTGGGCATGTTCTACAAACAAGCCAGAGGGATACCGAGGTAAGTCGTGTTTCTCTTGCCTCATTGAGATTGTTGGAGGCTCTTTGGAATGATCTGAAAAGACACTCCTTGCCATTATTACATGACTGCAACAAATGTGGTAGGCACAAAGACACACACTAGTTGCTATTTTTGTATTTAATACTCTCAGCAGGCCTGAGAGATGGGAGTGGTATTATCTCCATTTTATGTTTTAGGAACCAGGCTCAGAGAGTTTAGCCACTGACCCAAGATCACACAGCAAGTTTTGGAGTGAGATCAGGTCTGTCAGATTCTGAAACCCATTCTTTACAGTTAATCATTGCCAGAGCCTGTTATATTTTTAAAATACCCACTCTTGGCCAGTAGTTTGCCTTTAATCTTAATGGGCTTTTTACTGAGGAGTTTATTCTCTTCATCAGCAATTTTAACAGAACTTCTTACACAGTGAGTTAGTTGTTTGAGTGCCTTGAGTGCTGATATGGATTCAGAAAGTGCAGATATTTGCTAACAGTAACTCTTATCTGGAGATCAGTATTTTTAGAAGCCAGTAGAAGCTACGAAGACATCCAGTGAAGAAAAATGCATTTTGTACCTACTTTTTCCCAGCAGCCCTTGCGTATGTTCTAGGATGCCTTGTGCCGTGCTGCTTCTCGAGAGCCTGAGATATGGCAGATATTTTTCCTGCACCCTGGTATCTGAATCTTTACTCCTACTTATTGTTAAATATCTGACAAGTTTCTGGGGTGTGCGTTTTGCCATTCTAATAGGGTTTTGCAGGCTCTATGTGGTGACTCTTCCTCACTTTGGGAGGCTGAGGCAGGAGGATTGCTTGAACCCAGGAGTTTGAGACAACCCTAAGCAACACAGTGAGCCCTCTTCTCTACAAAAGATTTTTTTTTTTTTTTTTTTTTGAGTTGGAGTCTCACTATGTTGCCCAGCCTGGAGTGCAGTGGCACACTCCCGGCCACCACAGTCTCGAACTGCTGGGCTCCGGCAATCCTTCCGCCTCAGCCTTCCAAGTAACCGGAACTACAGGCACACGCTACCGCGTCTGGCTAATTTTTTATTTATTGTAGAGACAGGTCTCGCCAAGTTGTCTGGGTGCGTCTCAAACCCACGGGCTCAGGCAATCCACTTGTCTCGGCTCCCAAATTGCTGGGATTACAGGCTGGACCACCGAGCCCAGCCCTACAAAAGATTTAAAAATTAGCTGAGCACAGTGATGTGTGCCTGTAGTCCTAGCTACTTGAGAGGCTGAGGCAGGAGAATCGCTTGAGCCTAGGAGGTCGAGGCTGTGGTGAGCCGTGGTAGTACCACTACACTATAAGGCTTTGCAGGGATGGCTTTGCAAGGATGGAGGGGAAGTTATGAATAGAAGGACAGTAAGGATACCTTCTGTAGATGTTTATAAAATCTGTTGTTCCCCCCATATGGAAAAGATCGGTAAAGCTCTGTTATGGTGAAATCTTGATTATTTGATGACCCACGTTCTAAACTCTTTTGGAGCAGAGAAACTAGCCCTTTTAAAGGTAGAAAAAAGACAAACAGGGGAAAGGGTAAGGAAAAGGAAGAAGAGAGAGAAGGTGGTAGGCATCATTCCCAGTAGCATCAGGCTGGGACTTGCAGCCTGGTTCCGTGTTAGGCTTGACCTCGTCATACAGGGAAAAACTGATAAACAGTAGTCAGATTCTTTTTTTTTTTTTTGAGTTGGAGTCTCACTCTGTCACCCAGACTGGAGTGCAGTGGCCGCTCCCGGCCACCTCAGCCTCGACCTCCTGAGCTCCGGCGATCCTTCCGCCTCAGCCTTCCAAGTAGCCAGAATTACAGGCATGCGCTACCACGCCCGGCTGATTTTTGATTTTTGGTTTATTGTAGAGATGAGGTCTTGCTGCCTAGACCGGTCTCGAACCCGCGGACTCAGGCAATCCACTGACCTTAGCCTCCCAAAGGTGCAGGATTACAGGCTAAGCCACCGAGCCCAGCTAATAGATTCTTTATGGGTTTGGTTCTGCCATCAGCTAGACATCATCCTCTGCAACCTTCCCCAACATGTCACAGCAGTTGCACATTCACCAGCAAAGCCTGTTCTATTCTAATCAAGCTAGAGACAGGGACAGAAATGTGTTACAAAACTAGGAGGAGCCACGTGATTGGTACATGCCTGTAATCCTAGCTACTCAAGAGGCTGAGGCGAGAGGATCGTTGAGGACAATAGTTTGAGACCATTGGGACCTCAGCTCAACAAAATACAGAAAAGAAAAAGAAACTAAGAGGGGTAAAAGGTTCAAGACCCGCCTGGGCAATGTGGCGAGACCTTGTCTCTACAATAAATCAAAAATTAGCTGGGCGTGGTAGCGTGCGCCTGTTGATCCGGCTACTTAGAAGGCTGAGGTGGAAGGATCGCCGGAGCCCAGCAGGTCGAGGCTGCGGTGGCTGGGAGCCTGCCACTGCACTCCAGTCTGGGCGACAGAGTGAGACTCCAATTCAAAAAAAGGGAAAAAAGGAAGGCAAACACCTCCTTTCCCAGCCTGTGTTAAAACAGATCTCTCATTTATTGTGGAAAGTCGATGGATCGATCTGTTTTGCCTTCCAGTCCTGCCCTTCGCCCATCGGGTCTCTTTGTCAGTCTCACAGGCTTTACGAGAGAACACCTATCCGTTCTTGGCCATGATAATGCTGAAGGATCGGAGGATGACAGTGGTGGGCCGGCTGGAAGGCCTCCTCCAACCTGATGACCTCATTAACCAGCTGACGTTTATCATGGATGCAAACCAGACTTACCTGGTGTCAGAACGCCTCGAAAGGTAAAAGAGAGCTCCTTCGTAGAACAGAGACCCGTCGTGAATTTGGAGGCCTAGGACTCCACAGTCTGGACTTCTGTATGTCTTAGGCAATTTTGTATGTATTTTGACCTTAATTATCTATATCAGATCATCTGTTCTTAAAGATGTGATTCAAAATAAAAGCAGGGCTCTGTGCTGAAGAATGTGTATGTGTTGTTTAGAATACCTGAACATGTTATAAAGAATTAAATGTAAAAACAAGCTAGGCTCAGTGGCTCAGCCTGTAATCCCGCGCCTTGGGAGACTGAGGTGAGTGGATTGCCTGAGCCCGCAGGTTCGAGACCCGCCTGGGCAGGCGAGACCTCATCTCTACAATAAATCAAAAACTAGCCGAGCGTGGTAGCGCACGCCTGTAGTTCCAGCTACTTGGAAGGCTGAGGCAGAAGGATCGCCGGAGCCCAGCAGGTCGAGGCTGCGGTGACCGGAGTGGCCACTGCACTCCAGTCTGGGCGACAGAATGAGACTCCAACTCAAAAAAAAAAAAAAGTAAAAACATTTTGAATGGTTATAACTCTTCCCCTATTACATAAGTTATATATATATATATTAATTATAGGAAATTTTAAAACCACAGAAAAGCCCAAAGAGGAAATTAAAAATTATTCATAAACCTACCACCTCTTTAAACATTCTGGTATATTTCCTTTTAATTGTACACATACATACACATGCCCCTATATATGCATAATTTTTTTTGTAAAATTGGGATAATACTATTTTATAAGCCTTTTTCTTTTTTTTTTTCTTTGAGTTGGAGTCTCACTCTTGTCACCCAGACTGGAGTACAGTGGCCGCTCCCAACCACTGCAGCCTCGCCTGCTGGGCTCCAGCAATCCTTCTGCCTCAGCCTTCCAAGTAGCTGGAACTACAGGGATGAGCTGTCACACCCGACTAATTTTTTGATTTATTGTAGAGATGAGGTCTCCACAAGTTGCCCAGGCAGGTCTCGAACTCGCCGGCTCAGACAATCCACTCACCTCGGCCTCACAAAGCACTGGGATTCAGGCTGAGCCACCGAGCCCGGCTACAAGTCTTTTTCATGCAGTAAAATATCACAGCCTTTTTCCATCATTAAATTCTATCCTGCCACATTTTTAAAATTACTGCATAGCATTCCATTTTCTAAATACGCCATAATTTAACCAGGCCATTTTTATTGGATTTTTAAAGATTATTTTCGATTTTTACTTTTTCAAATAGCATACTTGAAGATAATTTTTTTGCAATTTGTGATGTTTCCTTTTGAGTTGGAGTCTCACTCTGTCACCCAGACTGGAGTGCAGTGCAGTGGCCACTCCCGGCCACCTCAGCCTTGACCTACTGGGCTCCGGCAATCCTTCCACTTCAGCCTTCCAAGTAGCTAGAACTACAGGCGCGTGCTACCACACCTGGCTAATTTTTGATTTATTGTAGAGATGAGGTCTCACCAAGTTGCCCAGGAGGGCCTCAAACCCGCAAGCTCAGGCAATCTACTCACCTTGGCCTCCCAAAGCACGGGATTACAGGCTGAGCCACCGAGCCTGGTGTGATGTTTCCTTAGATTAAAATTTATGTTCCTGGAAGTACATTTTTCTGGGTCAGACAATATAAGTATGTAAAACTTTTGATTTATAATGCTGAAGTGCCCTCAAGTTATACCAACTTAAATTTTATTGGGACGCTTATGTTAACAAAATTCTGAATAAAGCCTTGTAAGTAAGACCAGGAGCTTACCATGCCTGTAATCCTTAGCACTTTAGGAGGCTGAGGTGGGAGGATTATTTGAGGCCAGAAGTTTGAGACCAACCTGGGTAACAAAGTGAGATCTTGTCTCTACAAAAAAAATTTGAAAATTAGTCAGGCGTGGGAGCACCTATAGTCCTTGCTACTTGAGAGGCAGAAGGATTTCTTGAGCCTATGAGGTCAAGTCTGCAGTGAGCTGTGCTTGTGCTACTGTACTCCATCCTAGGCAACAGAGTCAGACCCTAACTCAAAATAAAAATTTTTTAAAGCGTAAATAAAATTTAATTTTAACCATGTGAAAAATGTATGAGAGAGGAAACTCTGGGGAGACGGGCTCAAATGTTCAGGCTCGATTGGGGGGTGATTACATGGTTCCATTCATTGAATTCATTGAATGATACCTTTAAGAACTGTACATTTCACTGTGTGTTTCACTGCTTATAAATTTTATCTTAATTTTTAAATAACATATAAAACAATGTGTATTCCACCATTTTGATTGACTAAATATTGTTCTTGCTAGGAAAAAAAAATTTGTGGACAAGAAAATGGGAAATATATCAAAATGTTGCAGTTTTAACTTTGATGAGTAGAACTCTGAATAACATTTTTTCTACATTTTTCAAGTCTTCTATAACGTGTGGGTGTATATGTATGGATTTTGGTTTTATGGAAGCAGCACAAACAAAATGCAGTAATCGTAAAGGGTTTTTACCTGTAAAAGATGAGGTTCATGATCACTTCATAATAACAGTACTGTGTTGCATTTATTAGAATTGGGAGAAAGATAAAGTTTTATTTTAAAAGTTAGAAGGGGAGAGTAAAGCTTGCTGTTTATTTTTCTGCCAAATTAAACTGAGAAAAGAGATGGCTCCTTCAGATTCTGCCATGCTGTGCCTTTGGAATCCCTTATGGGAGTGTGAAATAGTCATCTGCCAAGAATATCAACATTTTTAACCCCCATCCCCCCAAAAAAATTCAGTATAAGAAAACAGAACTTTGTGAGATTACTGCTTTCCTTTTGTCATTTGATCTGTGCATAGAGAAGAAAGAAACCAGACTCAGGTGCTGAGACAACAGCAGGATGAGGCTTACCTTGCCTCTCTCAGGGCCGACCAGGAGAAAGAAAGAAAGAAGCGGGAGGAGCGGGAGCGAAAGCGGCGGAAGGAGGAGGAGGTGCATCAGCAGAAGCTGGCGGAGGAGCGGCGACGGCAGGTAACCACCTGTGTCTTCACTCCCTGGGCTTCCCAGGTGGCCGAGACTTTGCCTTCTTGGCCTTTTCTTAAGCGTGAGAGGAAAACACTAGAAGATGTTGGGACTGTGGGTGATTCCTATTTTCCTTTAAATATTCATTCTTCTGGGCGACAGAGTGAGACTCCAACTCAATAAATAAATAAATAAATAAATATTCATTCTTAGCACCGGTGTTACCTGATTGGGTATTTTATTCACAACCTTATTTGGGTGTGTATCACCACTTGATAATAGCCAGCGTCATCTTTTTTTTTTAAGAGATGGGTCTTGCCGGGCTCGGTGGCTCAGCCTATAATCCCACGCCTTGGAAGGCTGAGGTGAGTGGATTGCCTGAGCTCGCGGG